GCACATTATTAAAAGATTAAGCCCCCTGACTATACGAACGTATAGAAAAACCAAATAAAGTAGTCTCCAAGATTTAGTCAAACTTTTATATCTGTAAACACAAATTTAATTTCTTCGCATGATACTCCTTCATGTTAGGGAGGTTCATAAGCCTTGCATGATCTAATACATTCCAGTTTATAAGTGCATGCACTTGTACTTCTAAACTCGAAAGGGAACTAAAGTGCCCAGAATTTAAAGGTTGAGTTAAAAGTTTTTTCTCGACAAATCATACACCATTCGACGCTATTTCCGAATATGTAAGATTTGTTGAGAAAAAACGCTTTCGTCTAGGAGAAAAGCTCCAAATACTGAAAAACCGGCGGATTCGGAAAAATCGCCCTTTTCCCGGAAAATGCCAGTTTTTTCTTTCTCAGTTAGTCTAAACTGAAAATGCTATTTTTCATTAGATTTAGCATGAAAAGTGGAACTAGACCATAGTGTTTCGAAACCGTTCGCTTATTTTTTACCGAAATGTTTTGGTAACTTTCACTTCCTTTGTGGCTAGTGCTAAATCGACTGCAGTTGCGTGAAAAAACACTATAGAATGCCGGGCGATGTCTTATTTTGCTCAAAATTCTTCGCTCTATCGGGCTATGTGGTTGGCAAAATTTTCCCACTAAAAACTAAAGACTTGGTTTTTCAGCGGCCAGGTTTTCCAGAAGCTCTATTATGAACTTCTCTCATGAAAGGGCGATATACACCTCATCTGATAGAAAAATCTTCGAGCTATTCAAAACATTATTTAGAGTGGTTCCGATTTTGCCTCTTATCGTCCCCGTCCTTTGAGAGTTAAGGACAAAGTTTCCAGTTTTTCGCTGCTGATTTAGAGAAAATGAATTTTCTTACTGGCAAAGCAAAGTCGAAGAGGAAGGGATGCATACTTTTAGAGGTCGTTTAATGGCGGTTCTAATGAAGGAAAAAAATCGGCTTCATCTCTTTACAAAAAAAGTTAGATAGGTTTACAAGAGAGGCATGTACCATTTCCAGTAGTTCGATTTCCAAAACCAGACTCAATGATTCCCAAAAGCGGAAAGGATCTCTAAACGAGAAAAAGTTGAAATTTTCGAAAAAATCCTTCAGGTTTTTCACATTTTTCGGCTGTAAAAATTGTTTTCAAACAGTTGGAAACTACTTTTCTTACTCAGCTCATCGCGCTCTATGCAATCATAAATGAATAAAGCAGGAAAAGTGTTTTACTTGAAATTCAAATTGCCGGCATCATAATAGTAGAGTTATTTTTCTCAACAATAAAACAGATTCGACCTCAAAATGTTTGATTTTGACGCACACCAGTTAATATAGCTTTTCGAATGCTATAAAACGTCTGTCTTCTCGTTTAGTAGATCGTAAATGGAAGGAATTAGATTGAAAAAACTGTTTTTATAGACTGAGAAGTACTGGAGATTACAGATTGGCAGTACTTCCTCCATATTCTTTTATTTTTAACGTATATAGAAGAATATTCACTATATTTTCTGTAGAGAATTAAGTAGCGCATCTTTGAAAACAAAAATTAAAATATTATCATATATAAAAAGCGAACGAAACAATCAAAAAATGAATTATAAATGACATATGTGTTTTCCTTTTGTAAAACTTCGTTCTTACAAGTGTAAATTTCTAGCCAAACTTTAGTTTAATTTATTTATTTAAGAACCTCGAAGATATTTGACAAAGTATAAAAGATGAGACTCTATGTGCTATGAATATAAGAAAGATGATTAAATTATTCAAATGTTTAGATATTTAAATGAACTCGATTACAACTAAATAATCTACCCAAAATTTGTTTCAAGGAAAGGAAACTCATAGGTATTTTTGTTTACGTGGTATCGAGTCCGAAATCTATTTAAACATGTCATCTGTATCGAGATCAAACCTTCCTGTGGAATAACACATGCTCAGATTTTTTTGTTCTATTGGTGAATGTGTGAATCATTTTTTCATAAAGGAACCTATTTCAGTTCAATGAACGTATTGTTTGTATTACGAAGAAGAAAGCAATGCTCTTCGTTTTTTGACAAAAGATGAGACTTTTGAAATGTATTTTGACACTGTTCGAATTTCTATTTGTGCCAAAAGAGATGATAATCTTTGAGTGCAGATCTTTTCGGCATTCACATTTTTCGACCAAATGAAGTAATAAACACGTTTTTTTGATATGACAAAATGCCACTTTTATTTTTTAAGAAATATGGATAAAACCAAGCGAAAACAAAACTGGGTTAAAAAGGACGGAACAAAACGATTAATAGTCAGCTTGTTGAATTATCTGCTGCTGTGGTTATTGAACGTTATCAAACTGTTGTGTGAAGGAATCCATCGATGGTTGTACTTGACTGCCGTACTGAGATCCTTGATCAAACGATGTTGGGCGAAATTGTGCCAATGGCTGGCGTTTATCAAAACTTCGATCAATTGATTGTGGTTGTTGAAATTGACTATAGGTGACTGTTGATTGGATTGGTTGCTGAAAGGAGGATCATCGAAGAGTTAAACCAGCATTCATTATTGTTCTATCTTCTCGGTCGATGTCTTATTTAACTACTCGAAGTTTGCAGATTCTACTGTTCTATCTACTCCTTTCTGTACTGACTAACTGACGAATTAATATTTACCTGTACGACAACTTGATCTTGTTGTTGACCATATGATTGATCATTTTGTTGGACTTGATTGCTACCATATTGTTGAGTTTGTTGTGGTACCATATCTTGTGATGTCATTTGCCAGTCAAATAGCTGTTTGTGATGTTTGTGTTTGCGTTTCGGCTTGTTGTCACGAAATACTTGCATCTGCTGTTGTCCGAAGTCACTGAAAGTTTTGTCCAATTGAGGTTTCAGGAGTACCTGTTGACTGCCATAATCCTGATCCATCGATTGCACAATGACTTTTGGTTGCTGGTCAATTTGTCCGTAGCCGCTGTTAGCGATTATTCGTTGATCGTTTTGTTGAATGTCACCACCGACAACAACTTTTCGCTGGCCGGTTGACGATCCTAACTTCTGATCAAATGATTGTTGTATGAGTGGCTGTTTATTGTACGAAGATGAACCGAGATCAAATGATTGTTTTATCAATGGCTGTTGTTGAACTTGACTGTAGCTATTCTGTGTAGATTGTGGCTGAAATAAAAGTTAAGTTTTAGTGAGATGAACATAATTTTCTACCAAAAACCGAGATTTATCAATTAAAAATATGAATTGATCTATGTATGGATGCTGCCAATTGCTCAGGTTAGCTGTTGTACCGATACTCTGTCTTTCTATTTCGATACTGTACTCTATTTCGAAGACAAATATAAGTTTTTATAATTACAAGTATTTGAATTTGATCTTGAACAACTGATTGATCATCTCCAACTTGACTACCGTATTGTGAATTCTGTGCAGGGACAAAGACATTCGGTTTACGATTGAATGAAGATGAAACGAAATCAAATGATTTTTTTATCAATGGTTGTTGGACTTGATTGTAGCTATTCTGTGTGGATTGTGGCTGAAATAAAAGTTAAAGTTTCAGTAGGATGAAGTTAATTTTCTACCAGAAAGCGAGACTTATCAATCAGAAATATGAATTGATCTATTAATTAATGGTACTACTAATTGTTCAAGTTAGTTGTTATACAGATACTCTATTTTTCTATATCGATACTGTATTCTACTCCAAAGACAAATATAAGTTTTTATAATTACAAGTATTTGAATTTGATCTTGAACAACTGATTGATCATCTCCAACTTGATTACCGTATTGTGAATTCTGTGAAGAGACAAAAACATTTGGTTTACGATCGAACGAAGAGGAAACGAAATCAAATGATTTTTTTATCAATGGCTGTTGTTGAACTTGACTGTAGCTATTCTGTGTGGATTGTGGCTGAAATAAAAGTTAAAGTTTTAATGAGATGAACATAATTTTCCACCAGAAAGCAAAATTTATCAATCAAAAGTATAAATTGATCTACGTATGGATGTTGCTAAGTGTAGTTTTCTTTTAAGAAGTCTGTCCGAAGAGAAAATTTTTATGATTTGTTTTTATTTTATAGGAAGAAAGGCTTTAGCGAGTTATCAAATTGGGGATCACAGTTAGATTAGGTGTTAAATAGATCTTTCTACTTTGATACCGTACTCTATTCCGAAGACAAATATAAGTTTTTATAATTACAAGTATTTGAATTTGATCTTGAACAACTGATTGATCAGTTCCAACTTGATTACCGTATTGTGAATTCTGTGCAGGGGCAAAGACATTCGGTTTACGATCGAATGAAGATGAAACGAAATCAAATGATTTTTTTATCAATGGCTGTTGTTGAACTTGACTGTAGCTATTCTGTGTAGATTGTGGCTAAAATAAAAGTTAAAGTTTTAGTGGGACGAAGATAATTACCTGTTGGAAAAAGTTTATTAGCAATAGTTTTCTCGCCTAATAAAAATAATGTAGTTTTCTTTACCACTTTTTGAAATTGGTTTTGACCAATTGTGTCTATCTTTTGATCATCACTAACTTGCATGGAAACATCGGGCCATTGCTGTCGTTGCATACTGCCATAACCTTGATCGACTGATTGTGTTCTGATCAATTGTGGTTCTCGAATTGATCCGTCGTAGCTTTGATCCATCATAATTCGTGGTTTGGCGAATGACGATATTAATTGCTGTTTGTCGCTGCCTTGATCCATCGTTGACAGTTTGACAAGTGATTGTTGACCAACACTAGTGTCATAGTTTGATGGCAAGGATTGAGATTGATCCCAAACGACACGACTAGCAAAGTTCGGGCGAATTAGTTGATTTTGTTGTTGACTGTTGCCGCCATACGTTCGACTTGTGGGTAATGAATCCAGAATAATTTGTGAGGAACGAAATCCCGAATCACTTTGATCCACTGAACTTCCATAGCCAGACAATGGTAAACATTGAACCGACGCGAGTGTTACCAATAAAACACTCGTTAATAGATTGACCTAAAAATATTATTTGATGAATATGTAGAAATCTGTGCGTATAGTTTATACACTTACCCAAGTCATTTTTGTACGTATTATAATATGTTAACGTTTTGCAGACAGAATAGTAAGCAAGTTGACTTATTAATGTGATACAGATAGATACACGCTATTTATACTGTCTGTTATGTGTCGAAACAGAGGGAGAGAAAGATAAAACAACCGAACTATTGTTTCACAAAGACATCTTCACCTAGATTCTCTTTCGTCAAGTTAATGCTTGTTGTATATAAATTTTTCACTCGCTTCTTCATCTTCTAGGTAAGTGAACAAAGTATTTGTTATACAAAAGAAAAAATTCAAGACTATTTCTTCAACAAATGATTCAGAGCGTATGATCTTTGACTACTCGTGAAGAAAAGTTCTCTTAGAAATTTGAAATTCAAGTAGTTCACACTAGAAATCTAAAAGAGAAATTGAATAAACAACACACTATTATAAGAATGTACCTTGTTTAGTTTTGACTTTAATCTCCATATAAACACAGTGTGCAGGAGTTTACAAAGTTATTTTATTGCTACAGATTTTTTATATTACTTAATGTAATATTTTTCTTGTTGCTTTATCAAAACTATGTTGAGAAAGTTTCAAGCACGTACATAGAGTACATATCGCTTTATCAATCCACTTTCTTCGTTCATCTTATAGATAACAGCATGAATTTATTAATGAGATTAAAATTAAATGATACAGATATGAGAAAAAGGTTCGATCACTACTGAGGTATGCAGAATAATAAAAAACATATCTCTATGGATATGAATTTATTTGAACAATAGCTAACTGATGATGATTTTAGAATATTAAACGATGGACAAACGTTTGCTCTTCGATCTAAAGTAGATCATAGTGGAACTATTTCAAGTATCGAGTATTTATTTTACTACACATCGGAAATATGGAATAAATTCCTAGATTTTGATAAGTTAAGCTTTCCTGTCTTGGACTGTGTCAAAGAGCTTTCCGTTTATATTTTCACAAATGTTTATGGAAACACCTTCTTTTTTTCTGCTTTTTTGAGCAAAGGGACTCGTTTTTGGATACTCCCAGGAACGGATTTTTTTTTGAACTCTAAATGAGATGTGCTGAACTTCAAAACCACATTTTCATATTCACTTTGTGACGCTGAATTCGAGAAAAAACGTTTCAAAACTTCAAAATGAGATGGGAAAAAACTAGAGCCATTTTTCTGAGAGGACGATTTTTTTTTCGTTTAGAGCATCCTTTTCGTATTTCGCGATTTTCATCGAGAAGAAAAGGTCGTTAAGCAAAAAAAATGTGATATTCGGAACATAGCTCGTATTCCTCTATCAGAATATGTCTGTTAAGGTCAAAAATGAAATAGTGTTTAAACTTTGAATTACGTGCGCCTTAGTTTGATGACATAGTTCATTGAAATATGACATAGTTCATAGTTATATGACATAGTGAAATGTGACATAGTTCATTGAAAATATGATTTGTCAAGTTGCCAAAGTTCAAGTAAAAGTATTATCGACGAAACATAATGATACGATAGAGCGTTAGAAAATCGAAAGTACCTGGATTTGTTTCGAAACTGGAAGAAGTCAAAGCGTTAAAAGAAAACGAACGAGCGACTTGACATCTGTGAATCCACAAGTGAAACGAGATTTGAACAGTATTAGTACACCGACTGTTTCAGTTTCAATAATCATACAAAAATCAAACGAGAGATAATTTTGAGATAATTAACACTTATCGGTAGAACGTTGTCAACTGACAAATTTAAACATCCACACTACATTTAGCAATGTTAAATGTGTTTTTTTCTACATAACTGCTTATGAAATTGCTCTTAATAACTTTGTTCTAATATAATATTAGGTTTTGGACTTTAAATAACTTTTTTCGTAATAAAATGAAAACGAACACGTTTTCTATTATATGTGTCATTAACTCTACTACTGACAAAAAAGAAGTGTACAAATATACTATAAACGAAAGAAAACGAAAAGAATATAGACGGCGGACTACGGGATAAATAAGAAAAAACAATGAACAAATAGTAAAAATAGTTATACGTACGAAAAGAAATGAAGATCTAGTACGAAAATAGTGATGATACTGGCATTATATACACAACTCTAGTTTTTAGTCGATAACTAAACACTAACAATTAGTAATTATTAGTGGAATTCAATGCATGTTTGCGTTTTCATACACCTGTATAAAGATGTCTGTGTACATGCCGTTTCATATCGATAATTGCCACGTCCATTCAATCATTTGTTAATAACAAGTGTACCAGAATAAATAAGCCTCTCACTATTTTACTTATAACGTGGTTTAGATTTGTTTCCGAGACTCGATATTTTTTTTTTAAAAAACATGCACTGCAAAATACACTACAAAATCATACCTAAACCATAATTTCAGAACTTCAATCAAGAAAACTAAGCGAATTAGATGAAAGTCGAAAAAAATGAAAACTTTTCAAACTCAAAATTTTTTCTACTTGAATTTTTTTTCTGCTACTATTTCAGCTAAAAAGTGTAGCAAAACTGAGAACTCCGTCTATGTTTGGTACTTTCAAATGTGCTCTTTCTCGTGATCTGTAAAAGAATTTTTTTAGAGTAGATAGTGTGCTGGAGAACGAAGTTACAAAAATACGTCAAAAGTTGACAATCTTTCCGTTTTCAACAATGTGCTCAAGCAAAACATGGAAAATATGATTGAAGTTTTGATTTTGCAAGTAGATAGAGAAGGGCAATCGTTTCTGATCAAAACAAATCTGACCGAAAAAGCTTTTATTTTGATGGAGTTATGGGGCTTTTACTGAAACCAGTACTACCCAAGCAGACAAACATTTGGAAAAACGCGTTTAAACGCTCAAAAGGGAACCGCGATTGTGAGGGGTATTGCTAAAAGACGCGAACACCCACGAACACCCACGAACACCCACGAACACCCCCAAATTAAAATCTGAGTTAGCCAATCGATAGAGCTCGTCGAGCTGAGTATAGCAACGCCTAACGAACACCCAAAAAAGTTTTTATAGTTTCGCTTTTTAAGCATACA